ATTTTTAACTTTATAATGCTATAACATATTGAAAAGTGTATAGATCAACATAATTTTTTTATGAGAAATAATATTTTTTAATAATCCCTTTTTCATTCTACATACTTTATCTTAATTAGGATATTAATAATGAACTAGCAGATCATGTAGCTTTTGGAATAGTCCACCAATTTTTTAAAATAAAACAGTATCTAAAGATTTGCATCGAAGCGTTTTTTTTTTATAGTGATTTTAATCACTGTCAGATATCATTATACTTGATCCATCTATACCACGTCACCACTGGGCCGCGACCCCCCTGTGCTGGGTTTTTTTTTATTAAAATTGAGCCTATGTACAGAATATAATATAATTATATGATTAAATAAAATAGTATAGGTTTTTAAATATTTTTTCGACAAAAATAGGGAACGAATTTCACTTGAAAAGGAATTTTCCCAAAACTATTGCAGCAATAGTAAAAAAACATATATAAAGTCAAAAAATGTTTGCAACCACATTTTACCAATGTAATAATATCTGTATTTACAATTAACTATAAAGGTATTTAAGATACCTTAAATCATAGGTGAATATTTTTAGACTTAATTTTATTTTTAATGTCTTTACACCTCCTTAAAAATATTTATTGTGTTACATTAATTTAAATATCCTGATTTCTCTTAAGTGCTTGGCCCCCATGCCACCCAAACTCTGTGCATGATTTTGATTANCTGTCAGATATCATTATACTTGATCCAACTATGCCACGTCACCACTGTGCCGCGACCCCCCTGTGCTGGGTTTTTTTAATTAATTGTACAATAACACACAAATATATTTTAAAAAATATAAAGATAACAAAGTAAAATTATTTAATTTTGTAGATGAAACCTATGATATTTTCATCTAACTGAAAAGAATCAAGAAAAAATGAAAAAAAAAATTTACTTTGACGAGCGGTTCTTTGACCCTCGTACCACAAGCGTGGAAAACATGAGTTTCTTCCAGCTTTATCAAATAAATGTTTGTACAACAATTTATTGAATTTTCTTGAATTTTCCAATTTTTACATAAAAATCGTAATTTTTTTTAACATTAATGTATGTTTTCATTACAAAAAAAAATTCCAGAGGTTAAAGTTTTTCTTTTCTAACTGAAGTATATGACATAACATTTAATTAAAGGTATATGTAAGTGTTAGTATTTCCGTAATATTTTCAAAAATTAAGTTGAAGTAGTAAATTTTTTGTGGAAAAGTAGCCATTAAAAAACTTTCTGTAGACTGGGAATAGGACAGGTATTCGAAAAATATATACTAAATAATAGGTAAATACCTGAGGTATCAATAAAAAAAATTATTATTAATCCATACCAGTTTTTAAAAAGTTATGGCAGTTTTATGTAAAAAAGTTTGAAAAATGTCAAAATCTACCGATTTTTTAAACCTTATTTTTTTGGGGGTATTTTCACCATTTACAGGAAACATGAAATTTTTTTTCAATTTTTGAGGGTAATGTCTTCAACTAAATACAATTAATAATCTTTTGACGTATCATTAAAAGAAATCAGTTTGGTCAGAGCTGAGAAAAAGCGTTAACAGACACAAAAAAACATTTCATAGTAAAATACTATCTTCTAAGGTTCGCAACAAAGCAAATAAATTGTTAACAAAAAAATGAAAAAATTATAATAAATACTTTTTTTTTCAAATATATATCAAATTTATTAATAAGAAAATTAGATATTTAAAAAGTGAATTATACAATTAAATTAATTCTCATACATATATCAAAAAATCATCATTTCACAAGTTAATAAATAAATAATTAGATATATAACTTCACATACAACAAAACATAAATATAATTTAAAAAATGGTTTAGTTTATAAAATATAATTTTAATAAAATTTAAAATAATTTCATTAAGTAAAATTTGACCATTTTCAAACATTATGGGTCAGATTGTCAAACGTAAACATTGAATTTGGACTATTCATTTCTAATGACATTATTTCACGATCATCAAATCCATGAACTTCATCCTAAATTTTTATTTAAAATTAATTTTCTTATTTTACATAAAACAAATTGATAGAGATCATAATATTTTATCAATAAAACTTATATATCACTTGTTGCTAATATTGTTTGAAAATTGAAAACATTAATTAAAACTAAAATTTGTAAAAAAAAAAAAACACTACATATTCTTAGTAACATATTTTTTACTAGTAGCACAAATTTTTTCAATGCAGTTTGAAAATAATAATTAATTACATTATTATTATTTTTTTTTAAATTTATTAGCCTCCCATCTATAAAATTTTTAGTAATTATTTATATTTTAAATTATTTTTAAACTTTCAATTTTTTAATAATCTGTAAATAAATATTCAGTTCTTGGAGATATACTATAATAATATATTGTTACTTTTTTATTTTTAAAACTTCTTAAATGTTCATTAATCTAAACCCTTAGAACACTAATGATGACACAGTTGTCATGTACATCTTTGTGATTTTATACTTGTTAACTACATATCTTAAATATGTATAAGTTTTCTCCCTGATAATGTAAAAATTTTAAATTATTGATAATAAAATTACTTTTTACAATTTTTGATAACATAAGAAATTATTTCTTCTCTTACTATAAGTTTTGTTAATTCCAAACAGTCAAACTAATTTGAGTTCTAATTATTAGTATTTATATGGCTTTACATTATTATTATTATTATTATTAATTATATATATATATATAATGCAGATATATCAATCAGAAAATTTTCCAAATTCACATTCAAAAAAAACTTATAGGCATATTAAAGGATTCTAATATACTATGTTAGCTTAAAAGTTAGTTTTAAAAATTAAACTAAATCATTAATAAATGTAATAATTAAAAAAAAGTATTTAACCTCTCCTTGGAAATATTTTTCTACAATAGCATATGCCATTTCATATATTTTTTGTGAAGTATGGTTTTGTAAAGCCTCTAAATGATCTAAGCCACAAGCTTCTTCAATTAATATACAAATTTTTCCTTGAGTTCCATCTTCACTAGCTTTCTATAATACAAATAATTGCCATAGAAAATCAAAAATTAATATCTTATATCCAAATTAAGATACCTCTAATAGTTGATTAATTCCTTCTAAAATAATTTCAACCATTCTCATATCTGGTGAAAGTAATAACCCACAATAGGGTTCCAAAATACCTAGATCAATGAGCTGTGCTTTCTGTGCTACAGTTCCACCACTAAATAAGTTGTTAATTGCCCATGCAGCCTCTTTTTGAACTTTAATATCTCCCTAAAATTAAAAATCAATTATTTTTTTTTTTTTAATTTTTATACGAGTGCATGACAACATTTATTGTACTTTACAAAAGACAAAAAAAATTTCCAGAACACCAAAAATTCAACACATGTTCAATTTACTATTAGTAATAGGAATTCTGTACATTAAATCACAGCAAAATAGTAACTAAACTACTTATACAAAAAGTATTGGTGCCACTAAATACAGTGGAAATTTTTCAATAAAACACTAAATAAGTTAAAAATAACAAAAATTAATGTGATTATCCTCTTACAAAAACCATCCATATCTACAATTGAAACTCATTCATATACTCATATAAAACATATACGATGTGTGTTCAGAAAATAACATGAATTTTCGTTTTTTGAAAAAAATATTTATCTATTCATCTACATTAATGTTATCTCCTTCAAATAATTCCCTATTTGTTATAATGCACTTATGCCTACGTTTCTTCCAATCTTTCAAACTCTTCTCAAACTCGATCTTTGGAATAGCCTTCAACTCATTCAGCAATACGCTTTTAATGTTATTTATACTTGTAAAACAACGGCCTTTTAAGGTTTTCTTTATTTTGGGAAATAGAAAGTCACACGGAGTCATGTCTGAGGTATATAGAGTCTGTGGCATCATTACAGTATTGATTTTGATAAAAAATTCACAAACAAGCAATGAAGTATCAGCAGGTGCATTATCGTGGTGCAAAGCCATGAATTGTTTTGCCATTATTTCTGACGTTTTTATGGATTGCTTCACGCAAACGGTGTTGAACTTGTAGGTAGTATTTCTTATTGACTGTTTGACCTCTTGGTAAGAATTCATGATACACTATGCCTTTAAAATCGAAGAAGACAGTGAGCATAATCTTCACGTTTGATTGCACTTATCAAGCCTTTTTTAGTCTCGGTGATCTAGAATGCCTCTACTAGGACAGTTGAGCCTTAGTTTCGATGGCGTATAGTAGTTTTGTTGACTTTTGTTAAAAAAAAATGAATCAAATTTTTTTAACAAACGAAAATTGTTAAGCTCACAAAAACACGTCCAACTTTTGTGGCTATCACTGAACCAAAATTTTTCATAATCGGACTCTCCAAACCAACGAAAAATTTTAAATTTCCGTTATTTTCTGAACACACTTTGTATATTAAGTAGAGTAATCGTTTGAAATAAATACACATACTAAGCTGTGATTAAATCAATTCAATGCATAATAATCTGTTTAAAATGTAAAGAAAATTGGTTACTATAGTTCTCATAAAAAATGATCTGTTTCTTTACTTTATGAACACTATATAATTAAAAGATTATTTAAAATAAGAAAACATAAATTTTCAAATTTTGTTTGCTGAATAGTTTTAGTCAATTTATATTATAAAATTAATCATTACGAACACGTCTCAAAACATTTGATAAAATTGGCAATAGTTGATGATCAATAGCAGCTTGAATCTGATCTACACTTCCAGCCATAACATTAGATAATAACCATGCTGCATCCTTCACAACAGGAATACGCTTATGAGTTAATAAATGTTGAAGGTATCTTAATACACCGTGATCCAATGCATGTTTTGTCTAAAAATATAAAAGTTTTAATGCAAACCAATATTATAATATGACTTAGAAACTTTTTCTAGATAGTATTAGAATTGTGTTTATACATATATTACAAATCGCATACTTGTACATCATTTCCTGATACTACATTACCCACAACACGTAAAGCAGGTATAAGTATTGATGTATCATCAACTTCCAGGTATTTCATAATGGCACTTAATGTTCCTGCCTCAATTATGACTTGAATTTTTTCATTACTTCCATCAGTTAAGTAAGATAAAGCCCAACAAGCATTAGCTAAAATTCCAATTATTAATAAAAATAAACTTATACTAATTTTGCCCAACTTACAAATAACTTGGGAATCATTGTGATGTAACATTTCAACTAGTAATGGAATACTTGGAAGTAACGCATTGAAATTAGGTGGAGGATTTTTGCTACGGCAAAGATTAGATAGAGTCCAAACAATATTTTGTTGTGCTGTAACCTCAGTTGTACTCCTTAATAGACTATTCAAAACAGGTACGATTCCATGAGATAAAACTTCATCTCGTGGTTCAGGTCCATCACCAGCAATATTACCAAGGGCCCAAACAGCTTGTTCCATTACACGAACATCAGGTGACTTTAACAAATCAACTAATAAAGGAATAGCACCTATTTTAATAATAGATAAAGTATTGTCTGATGATCCAGATGCAATATTAGTTAATATCCATGCACATTCATATTGAAAGTCAGTTCTAAAATATAAAATATATAAAATAATTTATTAAAAAAATATTTAAAAAAATATTTACTTACTTATTATTATACTTATGTGTTAAAAATTCTGTCAACATTGGTAAAATACCAGCTTGTATAAAATCGTCTATAGGTGCAGATTTACGAGAGCTCAACATTTTACGAGCATACTTTAAACAGTTTAATTGATGTACAGTAGAAGAAGATAATAGCCCTAAATATATCATTTTTAAATATGTATTATATATTATATATTCTTAAAAATTAATATTATCATAAAATTTACCTTCTTTAATGTTATCCATGGTCATCTCATAATCAATATTAGGTTCTATTATATCATCATGATCATTACTAATAATTGCTAATGTATCCATATTTCTGCGTTTGGCCATTTGTTCATCTCGTTTACTTTTACGCAATTCAACTGTTACATCATTACGTTTTCGACGAAGTTCCTATAAAAATATTGCTGATTAATTTGATTACCATTCTAGAAGTAATTTTATAATAACAATAATAAGTATAACATTATACCTCATAATATTTAGTTCGGTCTTGAAAAACATCAAAACTACGACTATTATTAACAGTTTTTCTCACTGGCATTTTGACTGACTTAATATCTAGGAATACAATAATCATTTATAAAATAATAAACTTATAATAAATAACAACATGAATATTTAAAAGTAGGATGAGCACAAAATCTCTTTGTTCAATTGACCAAATTTTGACCAGTCATAATTTGGTTAAAATAAAAATCTATATATAAATTTTAAATTGTACTACACAACACGGTCTTTTAGTACATTAGAATATTATTTTATGAAAGTTTTTGTTTAACTTAATTTCAAGGCTTCCTAACACAATTGAAAAGTTTGAAGTTAATTAAGTATTTATTAATTGTGGTTAATAGACTATTTAGTATAATACATTGAAATAAAATGAATTTTTCCTAATAAATTTTAAATAATTAATAAAATATATAAATTGTACTATGTGAAAGTATTGGACTGTCAATGTCTTAAGCAACAATAACAAAATTATGTGGTAGCTATTTAAGTTTTTTAGTAATATTATTAGATGTTAAAAAATAAATTTCCTTACTATACTTTTATGGTAGATAGTTGAATGTACATCTTAAAAAAAAAAAAAAAAAATGATCTTACCTTTGGATAGCAAATTTTTTTATTATCTAACTTATCTTAGTTAACTATAAAACTTAATAATTTATAAATAATAACTTAACTTTACATTTTTAATACCTTAATTTCATATATTATAAAATATGATTAACATGTTAATCTTAAAATTAAAAAAAATAGAAGACTGATAGTATGATTAATTGTAAAGTAAAATAATTAAAAACTTTCTACAGATTTTAACATGTAAAATCTAGTTGATTAGCAGAAATAGATTTTTACTAGTCATAAAGTCAACCCTACTTCAAATGAAGAGATTACATTTTAGTATTACATTTACAATTAAAGGTTTTTTATAAAGTTTTTTAATTAAAGTTATAGCTAACAATATATTTGAAATATTTAAAAATATAAGTAGCATGTAGAACCAGAATCACATAATTTTTCCTTATAGTTGAACTAATAAATGTAAAATTAACTATGATAAAAAAATTTTAGTATAGTTACTTTGAATAACATACTATTCTTTATTTATTTTAATTAAATGTTTTCTATACTAAAAAAATGTAATGTTAAAAAGAATTGAGTTTGAATTTTTTTTTATAGACAATTATATTAAAATTTTTTGTTAATATAGTTTTATCTCTGGTAAATTTTAAAAAAAATTTTTAAATAAGCAGTATTTCTTTTATGGAAGACAATTTATTAATTTTTAATATTAAAAAATTAGGCATAATATGTCTTCATTTAAAATTCAAGGATTGCAACTTTCTTATATATTAAAAAAAAAAAATAACTTGTCTTTCAAAAATAAAGAACAATGCCAAATTGTTAATTCCACCATTAATGAAAGTTTTTTGTGGATTTAACAATTTTTTCCTTTAATAATCATAAAATTGTACTTTAACAGTTGCAACATATCTGCTTTATTAGTAAAATAAGATTTTGATCAAATTTTATTTATAATTTCTAAAAAAAAAGAATTTAGACTTCAAATACATATACTAAATAATGATTAAAATAAAAAAAAAATTTTTAAAGTTAATCAGTTTTCCTTTGTCTTAGAATATTGTCAAAATACAGATACATAAAATCACTGTTTAGGTATAAATAATATATGCAATTATTTATGTAAAATAAATGATAAAATATAAGCTACCTAATATATATTTGAGGTAATTCATTTTAACCACATAAAATTTAACTCTAATATAATAATAGAACAATAATTATTATTAATGACAAATTTATATATTAGTTTTAGAATACAAAACAATATAAGATTTATTATTTTTTTAATTAAGAATATACTAGAGGTATAATATATTACAAATATATATACATATATATATATACACACAAGTACAATAAAAATGATTTCTATTTTAAAAACAAATTGAAAACTTAATGTTAAGTATAGTTCAAAACTTTTGATTATTAAAATCATTATTTGATTAAATTTTTATGGTTGAGGAACAACATAATGAATACATATTTACAATACTCATTATTAAACATTTCAATGGTTTTAATAGTTAATCATACTTACATTATACTGCAGCTATTGACAAAATTTTTTTTCTTTAAGTATTTGACAATAATTCTAGGTAAATTTAAATATTACTTATATTGTCAATTAAAAGTGGCTACAATTTAATTAAATATTAGTGTAATATTGTCACGGTTAAACGACCAAATATGGTTTAAATTCGTCGTAATACACGGGAAATGTGCGATATTCCCAGATAAACAATTGACAACGAATGTAACTGAATTACTATGGGAAACAAATAGATACAAACGGAATACCCGTTTTATTTATATTTAGTACTATTTTTTATTGCCTATTATCAATGATACGAGTCTACAAGATTACATCAGTATANCTATAATTAATATTTTAAAACTTCTATAGAATGATTTATGTTTATAGGCCAGTCAACGAAGGAGTAATTTTGACGAATGTCGGAAAAAATTCCCAACCAAATTTTTTTTTTTAAAGTTGAATTAAGATATGTATGTAATGACATACTAAAAGTCCTCATCGATTGGACTTGAGCTTTTTTTTTTACAGCCTCGCAAAAGTTAAAAAATATGAGCTTTATTAATTTTCTCAAAAAATATTTAACTTACAAAAAAAAGTTTCGTACAAAAGTTATTTAAAAAACAATTTTAAACAAAAAAGATATCTTATATTTTTTCATTTAAACAAATATTTTTCGAGTTACATTACATTTAATATGAGTACTAAAATTTATTTTCCAATTTTTTTCATTTTACGGTTACTTTTTATCATGTTACACTTACATTAGACACAATGTTATAAATGCATATGTGTGTATGTATGAGTTTATTTATTTATAGTATCATTAAAGTGTAGTGTATATTAAGATACAACCGATATAGTAGGTAATTGATTTGACGCTATATTGTTTAAACCCAACTAAACGCTAAATTGTACATTCCCAAACAACAATTATATTATGTCAATTGCCACCGGAATTTCTGCTAATAATAAAGATAATTGTAATAAAACGGCCTTTAGTCAGGTGCTGGAGGTGGTAAAAATTGTGGCTGCTGAAAAACAGGTCTTAAATGTTCTATTATACGTGAACATTGCAAAGGTCAATGGCGTACAAATTCAATAGAAATAAAGATTGAAGATTAAGAAAATTGTACTTTTGTTAAAGATATATTCTATCAAAATTTAGAATGGGATTGACATAATATAATTGTTGTTTGGGAATGTACAATTTAGCGTTTAGTTGGGTTTNATACATCATAGCTGGCCTCACAATTTCATACTAAATTTAAAAACTATAATTAGTATTTATTCATATATTATATTTTAAAATCAAAGAACTACTAATCAGGATATAATTAAAGAAATAAGAGTTCATGTTGCTTTTAAAATATTTCACCAATTTCTCTAAAGGAAACACTATCTACAGATTTGCATCGAAGCGTTTCTTATGATAGTGATTTTAATCACTGTCAGATATCATCTATACTTATCTCATCTATGCCACGTCTATACTGTGCCTCGACCCCACTGTGCTACCGTTTTTTTACTATATTTTTGCGGCATAAAATATTGAAAATATAAGATATCTTGTTATAAGTAAGTAAAAGATATAACAATTCATTGAACTCCAAAATTTTCCTAAATGGGAAAATATTTTCTAATTTATAAATANATTCGTCAAAATTACTCCTTCGTTGACTGGCCTATAAACATAAATCATTCTATAGAAGTTTTAAAATATTAATTATAGGTTATTAGTTTTTTAAATAGTCTTTTATTTGTTATACCTCTTTAAATATTTTTCCTAGTGTTTAAAAATATTCGCAATCATCATATTTACTATTACAGTTAGGTAGTATGCATAGGTTAAAATTTTAAGGGAGAGAGTAGAAACAATATTATAAAAAATATCAAAATTTAACTATTAACTATTAATTACATGTTCTTTGAAAATAGCAACATTGCATATCGCACCGTTATGTTCAACTGACTGAGTAAAAAGTAAAACACCTAAATTGGGTGTCTAGGATTTTTCAATTAACTAATTTTGGTTTATTTTAGATATATTTATTTTAGCATCGATGCAAAGCTGAGAAGGTATTAATTTTACTATGATGCATTTTTAAAAAAATTNGTAACAAAATTTACATAACAATTTATTTTTTATCTGTTACCACTCAATCTCAGCTCTCACCGAACCGATTTCATTCAACGATACGTCAAAAGATGACAAATCGTATTTAGTCGAAAACATTACCCTCCTTCACGTAAATGGGGGAAATCTCCAAAAAAATTACAAATTTATAAATCGCTAATTTTTGACATTTGACACGCCTTGGGTCGGGGGTTCTAATCCCGTACCGTGCCTCTTTTTTTCACATGATTTCCGGTACACTTTCTATAACCGGCCGTCAATCCCCGGCGGCCGTGTTACATTTTTTCAATTTTTTTTTCTTAAACTGCCATAACTTTTTTAAAAATGACCGAATCATTATAATTTTATTTTTTATAGATACCTTAGGTATTTACCTATAATTTGATATATTTTTGTTAACATTTGACCCTTTATCAGCCCACAGGAAGAGTTTCAAAATGACAATTTTTTTACAAAAAATTAACTTTTTCAACTAAATATTTGGAAGTGTTCCGGAAATACAGACACTTTTATAAATAACTTAAATTAAGGTTTATGTCAATTACTTAACTATGGCAAAAAATGTCGAACTTTATGGCTACCGTATTCAAAAATATGGTATTTTTTGATATAATTCTCGGTTATTTTTATATGTAAATACTCATTTTTTAATAATTAATAATAATAACAAAACTTTAAAGTGATAGATAAAGTCTAATTTTAGATTTGAAAACAGTGCGAAGTTGATTTAGAAAAGTATATTTTTGATTCCGATAAATCAATGTATTTATTCAAAAGTAAAAAAAAATTTTTTCATAAAGTATTGCATCAATTCCTATAATTTTTATGCATGTTTGTTATATAACTAAAAAATATACTACGTTATCATTTTTTATTATTTCTCTGTAAAAATTACAATATTAAATTATTAAATATTAATTTCATACTATATTAAATTCCTATAATAAATATTTATTCATAAATTATATTTTTAAATCTAAAAACTACTAATTAGGATATAATTAAGGAAATAGGAGTTGATGTGTCTTCATCAAATATCAATCTAATACTGTAAAAATTATTTTAATAAAGAAATAATCAAATATATTCAGTGAATTAATAGTCAAAAAATTTGTCAAAACAGCCTGGATCTTATACATATAGATATTTAAATTCTTACGAATAATATTCGTAAAATAATTCTAATATAATATAGGATTACTCAGAGGCTTTGAAGGATAAGACCTCATGTTAAATGGAAGTCTGGCTAAATAGTCCATGGGAGTTTCCACGGAAAGGGATAAATCCCCTCACGACAAAAATAATTTTATGGTGAAGATAATATCTTTACATGGATAATTAAAAAATTTCTAATACATATCCATTTTAATCTACCAAAACAAAATCCTAACAACGCTCCTGTCCGACGTCTATATACCAGTGTCAATTTGACTTATATTTGGACCCTTGGCAACGGTTTTATAAACGGTTAAATAAAGTAACAATTTTCTAAATAAAACCTAAATTATTGTCATCTACATAATGATTATTAAAATATGATTAAGACACTTATCTAGCAATACTATATATATTGAAGATTTTGATTAATTTTTTTATATTTATTTGTCTTATAATTAATGTACGTTTCACATTATTTCCGAAAAAATGTTGAATACAAAAATGTATTAATATAAAATATTATTTCAGATGCACTAACGGTTTTGTAGTCGGAGGGAAAACTTTTTAGACGATGATCGTTCTAGGACGTCTTCAACAAACAATAATGTAAAAAAATTGATAAAATTATTCAGCAGGATGGCTAAGTGTTAGAGCTTTAATAGATATCAAGTCTTAATTAAATAGAGGAAACGTACATTTATCAATTATTCTACAGATCTGGCTGTTTCTTATTAACATGTAAAGCAGCCAAAACTATAGAACAGCTGAATTCTGTAACAGTTCTACGTGTACCTTTGAGTAAAATTTTATCTTAATGAAATGTGGTATAATAAAAACTACTGTACAATAAAAATTTACGAAAATAACACTATATTTATAATATAACTAGTAATATAACATTTAATCTGTATGATAGCAAGATTTACTATAGAAACTTACATTTTCTTTATTTTTGAATAATATTTAATTTATTCGCAAAACTAAAAATGATCATAACACAATAATTCTGACTTACAATTAGAATAATTATTTTGTACTAAAATAATATTGAACTTTATTACTATTATAATTATTCCTGCATATGATATAAATTACACTGTTTTGTAGAATTAAAAAATGTATAGTAAAAAAATAACATATTTTGTAATAATTTTATATTATAATACACATAATTCGAATACCAATAAAAAAATTTTGTTATATTTTTTATATTCAATCTTATAGAAAATATGTAAAACAACAATTGACCAAAGTATGAGCTTGGATTATCAATTAAGATAAAATATTAAAACATTTAAACCCTGCTTAAGTAAATACATGTATTATTAACTCAAATATTTAAGTAATTGATAATTATTAGCTAAACATAGTTATATAACCAATAACATCATAAAGACATTCCTCCATAACAGTCATAATAAGTTTTAAATATTGTTATTCAATATAATGTAATATAAATGAATATTAACTTTAAAAAATTATCAAAATATAATTTTAAAAAAAGTATACAAAAATATGTACACTTAAATTTATAACTACACCAGAGGCATACAATTTTTTTAAATTATATTAAGTATATATTTTTCAGATCTTAATTGATAATCAAGTAGTGTAAAGAATAAAACAAAAATATACTGAAAATATAAAAATATATCAGTTGTTTTAATAACTCACATAGGAATATTTCTTAAATTAAAAAAATAAGATTAATATATGAAACAAATGTGGTTTTACTATAAATAAAAAATTATGCCATAATTGTTGACATAGAACTTTTTATTGCTTCTCTTGCATATGGGATATATGACAATGAATACCATGTTAATGCCAGAAATTGAAAAATAATACAGAGAAAAGTCAGTGGCGCATTTTTCATCTGAAAAAAACATTTTTATTATTTCATAAATTTTTATTATCACTAGCTGACAGTAAATATATAAAGTGAAAAACATTTTTCTGGTAATTTAAAAATTTTATGTGGTTATTTTTTTATTTACCAAAAATATGATGATAAGGCGAATCCGAAATTTATATCATCTAGTAATATCCTATGGTTTATACCAACAAAAGATATTAAATGAAATGCTATAAATGAGAATTCATGGAATTAACTTTGCTATAAAATGTATGTTCTTTTATGTACATTTAAAAATACCACGTTAAATACATGAATTAAAAACTATTGTGTTTTGTGGGAGACGGGGCCCCAGTTAATTTATGAGCATTACATAAGTTCAGCACCCCCTACATTTTTGCTTTAGTTGCGCTCATAAATAAGAGGGTGCTAACAAGCAATGACGATGTGGATGAATATTTTGAAAACTTACTGATTGATGAGCATCCGAGAAAGACATTAGAGAATATCTCATAGAACGAAGTACTGGTAGATTTAATTGGCGAGAAAAAGGTGTTGAGAAGCTATTGCATCAATGAAAAAGAATAAAGCAGTAAGATCAAATGAAATACCAGTAGAAATATGGAAAATATTAGGCGGTGTTGGCATAAGGTGACTGAAAGATCTTTTAATGAAATCCAATTAGAAGGAAAAATATCAGAAGAATAAGAGGAAAAATATCAGTAACAAAGAACTAGTTTGGTTTCTTGTCTAGAAAGTTAAAGATGGAACCAATTATTTGTGTAAGACAACTAATAAAAAAGTATAGGGAAAAGAAGAAAAAGTTGTGTATGGTATTTATAGATTTGGAGAGAGTATATAATAGGGTATCAAGAGAGGTTTTAAAGTGAACATTAATGAGAAAGAGTATCCTAAAGAGGTACATTAATATAATAGAGGATATGAATGATGATGGCACTTGTACCAGGGTAAAAAGAGGGGAAGGGGTAATAAGAGATTTTAGGATAAGAGTAGGAGTACACCCACATTCTACATTAAGATGGATGAAATTACTAGAGAAATACAAGAAGAAGGTGCCGTGGTGCATGTTGTTTTCTAGTTGTTAATAGGAAAGAGTAAGGAGGAATTTAATCAAAGGCTAGAGGTGTGGGATCAGCTCTTGAAGAAAAAGGCTTAAGAATAAGTAGGAATAAGACATAGTATATAGAGTACGAGTTTGACAAAGGAGAATACTAGGTAGGTGAAGTGAGGTGATTAGTGACGATAAGTGAGGACGTAATAGGAGTGGTGGTAAGTATTAAGTGTTTAGGATCAGTTGTATAGAAGAATGATGGTATTGACGAGCATGAAAGACACAGGATTAAATACGGATGGTTGATGTGGAAAGAAGCATCTGGTGTGTTATGCGATAAAAAAATTTCAATGAGGCTAAAAGGTAAATTCTATAAAACTGTAGTGAAACCAATTATGATGTATGGTCTAGAGTGTTAGGTGGTTGATAAGAGAATAGGGCAGAGATGAGAATGCTTAGATGAATAAGTGGAATCATTAGAGAAGATAGGATAAGGAACAATCATATAAGATAGTTTGGTCATGTTATGAGGAGAGATAAATCACAAACTGTAAGAACAGTTATGGAAATGAATATTAAGGGGAGAAGAAATAGAAAAAGATAAAAAAAGAAATGGAGGGATGTTATTGAATATGATATGAGGACGGCTGATGTGTATGTAGATGATGTGGGAAACAGTATCAAGTGGAATTTTAGGATAAGGGTGGCTTATCCAAAGTAATTGAGATAAAGAAGAGGAAGAATATCTTTGACTAGATACAATTTGTGATCTTTTGACACATTTTTGAAAGAAATTGGTTCGATTTATTAGACTTTAGAAATCTATAATTTAGAAGATTTTATAATGTACTATAGTATTACATAGAAAAAAGTAAAAAAAGTTGCAATTTTGATAAAAAAAATTGCATTATATTTAATAGTTGGTTATTTAACTTTAATATGCATTATTTCAACAAACAATTTAACAGATTTGCATCAAAGTGTTTTTTTATGATTACGATGTTAATCACTGAGAATGTGATTAACATCAAATCTAGCACAGTGATCACCACTGTACAGGGTTTTTTTTAATTTTGGCACCAGTGTAAAATATTGGGGTTAATAGTAAATAAAAGCTGAAATAATATATTGAGATAGTTAGATTATATCAAACAAATATGAAGAAAAAGAGCTGGAATGTATAATTCAAAATAACTTTGAGAAAAAATGACTGAGAATATTTCTATAGCTCAATTCCTCTAATAATTAAGGTTAAAAATGGTTACAGTAAAAAATTTGACTGAGTTATACTAAGAAAACTACTATTTTACAAATTTTGGTTAGAGAAAATGTAGTAGAAATTGGCAAGAATTGACTGAATAGTCATTAAATATAAAATAAATTATCTAAGACACAATAATGCTATAAACCAGGTAACAATATCATTTTGATAACTTCTTGTTGTTATAATTTTTTAATCATTTTTATAGGATTGTAAAAAACCTTTACTACTCCTATAAAATATTTAAAAAAATACTTACTCCTATAGCTGCTACTAATGTTAAAACAATCATAGCTAAAGCAATTATAGTAGCAACAACTCTGGTAGATGAAAACATTTTTTTAATTTGTTTTAGGGGGCCCATCAAGAAACACGTACTAAAAATACAATTTATAATTTAAATATAAGAATTATAAATAATTATTAATAATTAAAGAAATATAAACTACCTTAGAAGTGATGTTATGTTTCCTAATGTGTAAAATATACCAAACACAGCCATTTTTTTATGTAAAGGCAAAACTAACGCTGTTGCTCCTAATAATGAAAATAGTATTCCAATCACAAAACACACAATGAATCCTTTAATACGTGTAGACCATTCCAATGATGACATTTGATTTACATTCTAAAAATTCATTAGTTATCTTTAATTAATAAAGAAACATTTCAAAAAATTGTTTTATATAAAAAATTTAATTGAAGTTTTTTTTATTTCACAGGGTACAATTGCCTTATTTAATATTAATAAATCTAATGACACTACCAATTAGTGAATATGTGCAGTAATAACTATATAAGTGGGTAAAAATGATGGTTAATATTACAAAATTTTAAACTATTCTAAAATAATTATTTCAAGAACACTATTTTAAAAATCTAATTTTTAACTAGATAAGACAAAATCAGGATCCCTAGTTAGTAGATATTGATGTAAATGTACGAGTAGACTTAGTAGAAAAATAAGCTATCAAAAATAATACAGCAGAACTTTTAAATTTATACTCCAAAGCAGATCTTTAAAGAGAGATAAACAAAATCATGATTAATACTTTGAGAAATGAATATTATGCTTAACAAAATATCAAACTAAGAAAAACAGTCTTGAAGAATGCCTTAACAATAATGCACAAAATATCCTCAAAATACTGACATTCATTAAAATCAACAAATTATAAAATATAATAAAAATTGATCACTTGTGGCTAATTAATTAAGTAAAATTAAAACTATATTAAAAATATTATTAATTTAAAAAACTAAAAAATATTTTTAATATTTTTTAGTTTTACTTAATTAAATTATAAAATGTTAAAATTTTATAAAAAAAATTAATAACTGTCAAAACATTTTTAAAGTTTTTATATTCAACATCTAACCCAAACATATTTATGTATATTTTATGTATACTTCTTTTTTTATGTAAAACTAACCACAGGGCCAATGACCACCAAAGAGGAGACATTTTTTATAAAAAAAAAAACAAACCCATGGCATGTCAGATAATGGTAAAGATTTTTTTGAGACCATATAGGGCATAACTATAATTTTTTTTTTCAACTGTTAAATTGTTTAATGACAACCATTAAGCATTTTTATTTTTAGATTAGACAGGTGTGTACTGGAGAATCACTAAATATAATAATTTCTCACTTGCCTTCTATATTAAGGAACATAGTGTTTGCTAACATTGAAATGTATGGTAACCACCAGACTTAAATAATAATTAAATTTTAAAAATTAATAAAATATAAGTATGATAGAATTTGATACATCTTATTGATGTATTAGTAAACATTCAAATTTTATTTGAAACATTCAATTTACTTAAAGATTGCTCAAACTCTCATTTTATGCATCAAGCTATACAATTAATAAATAAAAATAGTTTACTAGATAATAAGGAGTTGTTTTTTTAATGTTAACAATTATATATAATTAAAAACATTTAGGACCGAGTTAAACCATATATAGGTTCTTATTGAAAAAAACATTTATCATAACAATATTAACATGAGTGGTAAATAAAATAAAAGGTCTTCAAAGAGCTCTATTTTCATAATCTCTAGGCAATGCCTATAATCATAAGCATACATACAGGGATTGTTGACAATGTCTGTATACTACTGAAAATTTTTATGGAATATAGTAAAATTTAAGTATACATATTTTTATAAGAGCTGATCTCAGAAGAGATATGAAAAATGACAATTTTGTCTATTTTAATCTCAGTCGACATTCACACAAAAATTGAGAATTATTTTTTTGATCATTATTTTTTGATGATAAGGAATAAGTAAACCAAGTTTGAATACTGGACTACTAGTATTTTTTTTTAGGTACTACCAGATGTTTAATTTTGAGCATGCCTATGATTATTGTGCCAAATGGATAATATGGCTTTGGAGACTACAAAATTGCTATTAACTCTTTTTTTATTATACATATGGTTTTTACCGGTAAAATTCCAGTTGAACTATCATTATCAGGACTTTCTTGTCCACTTAATGCTTTACGTAGCTTATCCATTGATGTTAATGATCTTAATAAAAAAGTTAAAAGCTATAAATAATTAACTTATGAAATTGTTAATTTATAATGTAATCCTATAAAAAACTTAGTTATATTGATAATTAAATCAAACTTCACTTTCATTAAAAAAAATTTTATTCACTTTAAGATAATATTAAAATTGAAACATTAAAAAATCATGTCAATAATAAATAAAAATGATTAATAAGTACAATCTAAATTTTAAAGTATGTCAAATGACAAGTGAATGTTGTTTTTTTAAAAAAAAGTTAAAAATTGATAGGGTAGTGTTTTTTGTAGTTATCATAGTTAGTCGATAAGAGATAAAGCGATCAACATGGGAAAACCAAGGTCACTAGTTTTTCATTGTATGATCACACTGAATGTAACACTCCTCTTTTCCCTCTTTATTACCACCTGCCCTAACTTAAACTCTTGAAAGTTGAGTCTACTGCGTACTGCGGTGTATATTAGTTGTCGTCTGGTTCTACTTGGGAGTCGTTGCAATCTTAAATTTTCCTCATAAACAGACTTAAACTTTTAAAATTTATTTAATTAACTCAAACAAAATTTATTGGATTATTAATTTTATATTTACATTAGATATTTATTTTAATGCTATCGATGCATAAAGATCTTATGTAGAATATTTATGTAAAATCATGTGAAAAAGAAATGTTTTTTTATTAACTTTTTAAGGTAATTTTAGGTAAGTTAATTAGATTTTAATGTAAATTATATATTTAATATCTATAGTTGTATTTACTTAATCATAAATTAGTCATTATTACTCTAATTTAAATAATAGCAATTGTTTCATATAAATATTACATTTAAAGGTTTTAATTATACACCAAAACATATATGGGATGTAATTCAAGTAAAAGCGGATCAAAAGCTGTAAAAAATAAATCAAATTTACTTCCAATAATGAATTATTCATCAGTCAATAATGTAAGTTATATGTAAATTGTTAAAATAATATAAGCTCTATTATTTTATAATTAAACTGTATTGATATAAATAATATTCTCTCAAAAAATTATTCCTCTTTTCTAATGATTATTTAAAATAAACTCATACTATATACAGTTAATAAGAGAAATTCAGTTTAAAAAAATATCACTAAATTATCTTGCATTTCATTTTAGATACACTCAAGTTTATATTATTATTTTAAGAACCACTCAACAATAATTTTTCAAGGATGTCTATAGTAGTTAGTGTATTTGCATTTTTAAATAATAGAGTGTTAAAAATGTTGTTTTTTTAATTATAATGTTCTTGAATTCTTTTAGAAGCTCTTTTGTTTATCTAAATAAAATTTATCATTAAGTCTATACATTGCATATTTTTTGTATAAAATTTGATAAGCTTACTAAATTATGCTAAATAAATTAATATTTTAACCATTTACATAAAATAGAATGTTTTATTGTTCTATGATACAATTTCTATTTCATTTCTAATAATAAATGCCACCCTCTTCTGTGAGGGTGTATAATATGTATTGATCTACTCTTGTGAGCATGACTACTAGGCCTCCTCTCACCTCTTCTATCCAACAGTATGACAAAAAATATTAAGCTGTAGTAGTCTTTATCTATTTATTTTTATTTTGATAAATTTAATGTTAATGATATATCAAATATTTAGTATTCTTTAAAGTTAATATCATAATTTCATTTCAATTTTTCAAAATAAATACAATTTTATATATTAGTATTTAATACATAGTTTTAATTTATGGTTATAGATGGTGCTAAAGTCATCTTAGTTGAGTAAAGATATTATTTTATATAATAATAATAAAATGAATTTTTTTTCAATTATGTTTAATTTTTAAAGAATTAGAGTTAAGTTTCTTATTTGAGAAGACATTAAAAATATAATCAAATAAACTATGAGTTCTATTAAATCCTATCAGGTTCTTACACATTTCTGTTATTATTTATTGGTAATATAAAACTCAAATAAAATACAAATGTCTACAACAATTAATCAAGAATTAATAACAAATTATTAAAAACAACGATTTTTTCTAAAATAGGTTTATTGTGAATAATTTTTTTTTAATGTTTGGTAGTTTATAATATGTGTTAATTGTAAAAGAATTAATATCAGCTTTAATGTATGATACTATATATATGAAATATATGTTTTTTAAAAAGTAGAATATTATGTAGGTATTAATGTATGAAACCATAGATTATTATGATAAACACATGCATCTGAATAAATATATAGATAATATATCATTCATAGAATAAATTTGATTGTTTTCCATAGAAAAATATCAATTATGTTTTTTACTAATAGTTTGATGTTTTATCAAAAAATAATTTTTGTGCATTTCATGAATTAAACTAGATTTTTTCTAAGAACCAAAAATGAGTATTTCAGCCTCCAAGGTAGTTGCCTAGAAGCCAAATTTTGAGGGGACTATCTTGATATGCTAGCTAGTAATTTTTCTTAATTAAAAAATAAATGAAAATTTTTTGTTTTAAAATATACCAAAGTGGCATATATTATGGTAACTGTCAACTCCTATAACTTTTGATACAATTCACATTTCATTGTAATTTTTTTAAACATTTATACTTTTTTAAATTACATTAAAATAATATTATTACAGCCAATCTTTAGTATTTTTCCTACATAATTGATTAATGGGTCGATAGAAGTTTTAGGACATTAATTATTGATTTACAAGCGTTTTTTAATTAGAGTGGATATGTAATGTAAGGGATAGAGTATGCGTTATAAATATACACCAGTAAGAGCTATACCTGCTTATACTACAATTCATGCTATGTATGAAAATGTTTGTAACTTAATATTACTTATCCCACATTTATTAACAACCCATTAGTTATTTTTTTTTAAAAAATACTAAAAACTGGCTACTTTGAAAAAAATTTATATTGTTTTTATTATAATAAAAAAATTAATAAAGAAACAATTTAGAGTCCCATTTAAAAGAGGCTTTGAGACTCCAAGTTCGACTTTGCTAAGAAATTAGTCAACAGTTTTTTAATGTGACAATTTTTAATTAAATATTTGATTTTTTATTATTTAAAATTAATATTGGAATAAAAAAATTCATATGGCCTACATTGACTTTAAAATTTTTGATAAACTTTTTAAAGTACCAAATTCATAACTTTATGAATACTCCATAATCTCAAAATTAAATTGACATTCTATTTGAATTTTATACTGTAAATATAATTCTTGAGTTAAAAGAATAGATAGAAGTCCAACATGTAGGATTTGGTATATGAGAGGACTGGGATATGTTTTTTTAGTGTTTGAGAGAATGATACCTCATTCATTGTCGTGATTTAAATCTAAACTTTACTCGATTTTTGACTTTTCGTCATAATATGTCTGCCAAACATTTATGAAATCCAAAACTGTCACACGACTACAGCAAATTTCTTTGTATATTTCTATCATTTCTTCTTAGTTCATCTGCGTAAAAAATAATTGCGAATATCTTCAACTTGTGGCCGTGTCGGCTCGGATATACTCATTTTAAAATTTTTGATGTATATAAATAGGCATAAATGTCTCTTAAAAACGTGAACAAAATGATATCGAACTAGTATTGGGCATATTATGTTCGTCTTTAGATGGTCTATAATCAGTCTTGGGAAATAAAATAACTAAAAATATTCGTTACTGTAACGTCGTTACTTTACTTTTTACAATAACAAAATTATGTAATTTAATTATTTTTATTTTCAAATAATTAATAAGTAATTTAATTGCATTTATGAAGTCATTCAAATTACTAACGCAGTATTAAAGATAATGACACCATCAATAGAAAAAATTGTCTAATTATAAAAATAGCAGCACCCATCCTTCATTTCCAGTTATTGCTTTAAATTACTAATAACTTCTGAAATACCGATGCAAAAGTTGTTATCAATCAGTCATTTTCTTAACTAGATCATTATATAATAAATAAGCTAGTTAGTTATGTGTTACCATTTGAAAGATTTAGTTTAACACCCTTATATGATATAAAAGATGAACATAAATAATACTTCACAATCGATAAATTGAGAAAATTTTTAACTAAAATAAATCAATAAAAAATTTAATTTTTTATTTTTCGACTAATCAAATAGTTCGTATTATGTGATACATTCTATGTATAATGCTAACAACAATTTTCAAAAATTAGGTATTGGTCTTCATTTAATCGCACAACATATACAAAGTATTTAAGCAGTAAATCTTTACTTTTTGTGAAGTAAAATAATTTCATTACATTTAAAAATAAATAACGAACTAGTAATTACACTACTTTTGGAAATATAACGAGTAATTATAAATTTATTACTTTTTCATAGTACTTTGTCAATAACCTAGTATAATCGATTAAAAATGATTACCTTAAAAAAAAATCATTCTCGTTCATTTTTAGACATCTTTTGTAAGTTGAATGATTTTGAGTCCTGCATTTATAATTTGTTTTAGACAGTAGTGTGCTCAACGGCTAAGCCCGGGCCTACTATCTTAGCAAAACCAGCTTTTGACACGGACCTCATAAAATGTTTTATTTTTAAATAATAATAAAAAATAAAAAGATTTTATCAAAATGCTTCAAAAGAGTTGATGATATTATGTAATAGGCAGTTTAAATAAATAAAAACGTAATGATCGTTTACACATAAGCATTGTTATACAAATATCTTTTTATATTAATATAATTAAAAGCTTATTATGTTATGTAATATATAGACATTTTCAAAAATGTTAATTTCAATTTTAACCATGTTTAATATAATAACAAATGTAAGTGATTTTTTCTCGGAAATCTTAGAATATTACTGAGGAGCAATATTTAAATTTAAATATTGCTTCGATTTAATTTCTTTATCAAATGTTACGTATTTTGTCAATTTTGATTCAAATATTACAAAGTTTTTTGTTTATTAAACAAAATTATGCTATTCCTTCTTCATAGTTTTATTTTTATGGTTAGATGTAAAATTTTAGATATTTTATACTTTCTGACTAGGATCGAGTATCTGTCAAGTTATTACGTAAGTGTACAGTTTTAAATTACATGGCGTAAAATGAGCTAATAATTATTTCTCTTTTATCTTCTCCAAGCTAAATAGTTATGATTTTTAAGGTCGGCGACAATGACTCGCTAATCTAATTTCCTCTTATGGAATTGGGAAAGGGAATTGTGGCTTCATAATTTTACAATAACTGTGCCTATACATTCTTACCATATGGCGTCGTGGTTAAATTGCATAACATTCGTCACTACTTGTATTAACTTAGAGTCTTCTAGGGTCATACATTTTAATAATTTCGATAAACACATAATTATTTCATTATTTTTTTTTTTTAGTCCAAACAATGTTTAAAGAATCAACCTAACGTCACCAAAGGGTTGACTTCTTCTTTTGGTTTTAAAAAACCCGTTCAACATAGCAAAGTTGTGCCAATTACATTTCCTGCTAAAAATGTCTTAAAAGTTGATAAAGATACAAAAATGCCAAATTCTAATCCATCACCCAATGAAAAATGTTTGAGAAGTAACTTAAAATCGAGTCTTTCGCCCAACAGGTAATATTTTTATTTCAAATTTTTAAAAACATGATACTTAAAATAACTTTATATTATCAGGTTTGGCTTCTGTAAACCAGCTGTAAAACCAGTTCAACCTATACATGCTTTAACAAAAAAAGTTGATATAGAGCGAAGAAGTCAATCTGAACCCCAAAAACGAGAAATACCTAAATTTATTACTGGTGGTTCAAAAATAGCTGTATCTAAAGTTACTGCTAGCCAATTACCAAAACCTCAAATCCCTGTCAAGTACCAATTTTCTAAAAGTCCAGATAAAAATGCTAAAACAGCTGCTAATTTACGTTTGAAAAATGAAGCAATAAAAAAAATGCAACAAGGAATAACTGTCCGAAAATTAAGTGATTCCATTGAATTCACAGAAGTAATTGCTATTAATAGGCCTTCAAGACTTACTTTAAATTCGAATGCAAAAGGACCTTTAATAAGGGAAAGAGCCAATAAATATTTGAGGTTAGAAAAATTTTAATAATTACAGTTATAATTATCATTTTTATTTATAATTGTTTTTCTATTAGGCAAGTATCTAGTTCCTCTTCTAAACATTTGACGTCATCTGATGATGATTCAGATTTAAGCAGTTATGAAGAGAAACATGACAAGTAAATATTTAAAATTTTTATTATTACTGTTTGTTATCAACCACTTAAGAGACTAGGAAGTTGGGGATTAAATATAGTTGTCGGATAACTAGTGGAAAGTTCATGCCTGAAAGGGACAGACCTAAGTTCAATCCCTAGTTTACTAACATATTTTTTCCTCAAATTCCAAATTTCTAGCATGCCTATATAACTATTAATTTTAATAAATTGTTTTTATTTTAGGGAGGAATTTGTTAAGGAAAAGACTGAAATAGCTGAACGGATTGAAACAATTTGTAGTGATGAAGAATATGGACCAGGTGAAGCATTAGCAGTAGAAGAATTTACTGAGATGAAAGATAAAATGAATGTTGTTGATAATAAATTCGGTTAGTAAAAAATAAAAAATGTAGTAGATATTTAATTAAATAATATAATATTACTTCAGCCAATGTAGATATGTCAGTATCATTAAGAGATGTTTTATTAAATATTGAGGATACTACGTTTGCAACATTAGCAGCTATGTCTTCCAGTATGCGTATTGAAGATGAAACATCCCCTGATGATGAATGTTTAAGTCCTACAGAATCAGAATCTGCTGATTTTCTTCAAAGTAAAACAGGTTAACATTTTTTTTTTAGCTACCTAATAAATGAATTGACTGCACTTTTTTATGGTAAAATAAAACTCAGTGATAAATTTTTAAAAATGGCATCTAATTAAACTTATTTTAAGTAGTATCAGGCACTAAAAGTCGCATAATCTGATATAAAAACCTCTTTTTATTATAGAAATTGAACCATTTTTACTCTTCGGATTAATTTGCTGGATTATTTTAACAATTAAAAATATTTATACTGACTATAAGTAGTATAGCATATAATTTAAATAAATTTAACTAAAGAATAATTGTTTGATAAAGCTATTAAAGTAGAATAATGTATCTACATTTTTATATTTAAGATATAAAATTAAAATGAAATAACATATCATGTATTTAAAAATATTATAATAATATAATGTATTTATATTAATTAGGGTCGTCCTGAGAGGGTGGTTTAAGATGTGTAGCCCCCACTTACTCTGCAATATTTTATTATTTTATTGAGACATTTTTCTACGTAAGAGAATATTACCAAAAAATAATAATTCAAAGAAGTCATACAATTTATATAATTCCTTTAGTCTGCAAAAATAATTTTTTTTTTTTTAAATATTATTAAAATTATAATCTTGCTAAAATATTTCAAAAAGTCCAGTTCGTTGTCCTTCAAATTATTACCATGATATAAACCATTTTATTTATAGCTCATTAAATAAAAAACATATATTAAATTGAATTACCTTTAACTCTCTAATATTTTGGTATTTACTACAAATAAAACGTTTGTGACACGTATGTGACAGTGATTAAATCTCTAATCCTGGTAGAACTCGCACAACAATTCAAAACAGGAAGTTAAAATTATATTTCCACTATGAAATCTCACTAAAAATTTATTGTAACTGTTATTCTTTTTACGGTTTATAATCAAACTACATTCAATTAAAAATATTTCTAAGCTTAATTACTGAATAACATTTTAACTTGAATTTGGTCATTAGTTATATTTTCTTAGTTTGAGAGTGTATATCCTTAGTGTGTTCTAAAATATTATTTATTTATGTCCTTATACCAGTATTTACAGAAATTTACCTAACATTGGCAAAAATTAAAGGGTTAAGAGTGGCTTAACGCCTAACATAAAAAATTGAGAAATTTACTTATTAGTCCGATTTTGTTGGCCGTAATAATGCCACCGGGAAATATTTCCGCCTGTACCAACTACTTAAATATAGACCTATATATCCTGATTGCGTCCACGAAAAGGTATTAACTGTGTACGTCTCTGAAAATTATCATTGAATTTTGTAGGAGCACAAATGCGTTCCTTTTTTTATAAGGTACCCTAAATGTAGTCGGTGTTTCACTATCTAGCTAAACTATCGTATGGGTACACTCGACACTTTAAGATTAGTTTGCTGTGCTCACTCGGTGCTTCCACTTCTTTTCGCATACTAAATACCTCATACATTTTAATTTAAGAATAATGAGCGAGCTAACTGTCCTTAATTATATTTTATAATTTTTAAATGAGTGGCATTAATAATAAAAAATATTAATTTTTTCAAGTTTGTTTTACTTCTATGCAAAATCTGAGTATGACATAAAGACCCATTGAGATCTGATGTTTAGAAAGTCCGTGCATCTTAAATTTTAAATCGTATTTAAATAATAAGTAATAATATAACTTTTATTTTTTAGACTACGATAAAAGAATATTTTTTATTATTTATTTTTACAAAATTTCAAAATAGTTTTTTTTAGAGTTGTTTTACATTAAATGTAAATGTTGACGGGAATATAACAATTTAAGTATAAGTACTTATTAATTTACAAGCATTTTAATACATTGAATGGGCATGTAGCGCGAATAAGTACAGTTCGCACTGGTGTATATTTTATAACGCATACTTCATTTGTGCTATATACCCACTCAATGTATTAAAATTTTTGTAACTCACTAAGAACTTAACCTAAAGTTATTATGAACACATCAAAAGTTTTTGTAAAAAAAACTATTTTAAAATTTTGAAAAAATTAAAATTAAAAAAAAAAAAAAGACTATAATTTATTAATTATTATTAAAAAAATATGCTTTTAATATAATTTAAGAATACAAAAAAGTTTAAATTACAGTGAAATGATTATTGAATTAAAAGTTATGAGGCTAGAGTATTAGTATATAAGGCTCACGGAGTTGAATGATTTAAACTAATTTTTAATTTACTTCTTTTATCTCTAAATGCCTCGTATAGAATAAACTTTATATTTTTAGGTAAATGCATAGTCTTCAATAACCTAGCAAAGTTAAAAAAATATAAAAAAAATTCGACCTGTCTTTAAAACTTATTACCGATCCCAACCGATCTTATTAACCGTAGATTATTAATTTAGTTCATTTTCAAGTCTCGTAGGGATAAGATGGCTAGGTTAAGCTTCTATGATTTTTTCTGACTTATGTAAACGGATTTAAAATCTGTAATTTGCATGAAACACATGCAAACTAACCATCACTTCGTAAAACAAAATAAAAATGTTTTTTTATTACTAAAACATTTGCACGTCTATTTAAAAGGTGTCTAGATCATCTCCTGAAACGACGCTGAATATAGCTCCTTCGTTGTATCTTTTTATTGTTTAAAATTGAGGTTGGGTACTGGATAATTAACAACAAGTAGAGAATGAAAAGATAAATTTGTCAATATCTATTTTTTATAGAATCTGTTAATAACGATAAATACCAAAGAAACATATCTCCAGCGAGATGTAATATTTCTAAATCGGAATCATTTTCTTCGGATACAAGAGATTTTTTTGACGATGAGATAGCTGATCAACCGGCTCTCATGTTCAGCGGTCCACCATCAGAGTCATGCAACGGTGATGATATCGACGAGATGATTTTCCGAATAGGCAATCACAATAATATGAATACCAGCAGATCCGGTAAGTAGATAAAATTGGCTTTTAAGGTTTATCGGACAATATGTTATAAATTATTGCGGTTGTTATTTTTTCGCGTAAAGGCAACAAATCCCTTAGACGGTCACAGAGCGCTGACGGTTCTTTAAGCGATAGTCTTAATTCAGACGACTTGATGATGGATTTCGAACCGACTGATGACAGGAAGGGAGGCCAAGATGACGTCACTGAAAAAGATCCTCTGGAGACGTTGGAAAATCAAAAACAAAGCGCGTTCGATGAATGGACCAATCTCACTTCAAAGAGGTATAAAGTAAATTATTAACAATAAAAAAATGCATGTGTTCTTTATAGTAACAATAATATATATAACTAGGGGAATAAAAAAAATATTAATGAGTGGGAGTAGAAAAGTATTTTATTTGTCGGATGTAGCCGAAAGAGGGCAATGTTATTGACCTTGGTCGTTGCCGTCGCTACCGCGCTCCGTTCAGCCGGCTAGTGGAACCTAATGCGTGTGTTTCCAACAGGTTGCAACTGAGTCATTAAACCGGTTAGTTACACACAACGCAGTCTATAATATGCCCTGTCACTCTTCTCTTTTCTAAAGTCGTGTTTTACTGTTCTGATCCTTTCGAGTATTTATCGGAAATCTTTAGTTTCGCATAAGTATCCGGTGTATTATTTTTAGTATTATTTTAAGACAAATGATAAAATAAAAGTCTTTATTTGTCCGTAGAATTCGATATGATTAAAGCGTTCAATAGGTCTAAAAGAGTATTCAAACGGTATAAATAAAAATAATGAAAAAAAATAAATTAATGTTCTTTTAAAACTTAATTTTCTATAATTTTTTTTAGGAGTAGTAGTGCTTCATTAAAAGACGAAGTAAATTCAGTAAAAGATACTATCAATTCTAATTCTAAAGTAAGTATTTAATTAAATTATATTATTTTGAAAAATATGCCAATTTTGAATAAAATCAAAGTGGATGATTTTAGGAAATCAGTCATGGGGAGGTGATAATGAGTTTCAATCGATTTCAAGAAGTGACGGACGAGATCGCCAGTATCAAAAATATGCTATACGAACTGAACAGAGTTCTTACAGAGGTAATAAACAAAATTATTATCATTTATAATTAACTTTATTTTAATTGAATTAAATGCAAAACCACATTGTTCTTATATTTTTCTATTCGTGTTAAAAAGAATCAAGGAAAAATAATTCCCCAAGGACTATTTTATATAAATAAAAACTATTCAAATGTCAAGGTTGGGGAAACAATGAATGAGATGTCCTTAATAAGAATTATTTAAGGATTATCATTTTATTTCCTTGTTGTTATTGTTTTTCTGATATGAATATTGATAATATTTTAGGAAAAACAAGACTTGACTTACCCAGAGGAACAGGAAAAGAACTGTCACGAGGATCAAATTCTGGATTTGAAACAACAGGTTTGTTACTTTACTAGTACATAATTACAAAAAGTTTCCCAGTTCCTATTAATCTTCGAATACTCCTTAAAATTAAATTCATATAGTTGTTAAATCAAAATGTGTCTTATTTTATAATATTTTGAGAAGTAGATATCATCAATAGTTGCATGATTTGCATGGATCCCTTTGCTTAAATTATTTCACATACAATTTTAACAATACTGCTTCGTTTTAAATTAAGAATGAGTTAGTTACCTTAATCAGGAGTTGAGATGCGAATCATGCGTTTCAGATAGTTTATATGGCTCAACAGATAGAAAAAAAGGATCGCACCATTCAGATGCTCAACGAACAATTAGCTCAAAAACCACCACCAACACCAAAATCGATAGAAACACGAAATTCTGCGACTCAAACAGAACGAGTAAGAATTGTTTTTAGTAATATAATGTATAACAATTAAACAATTTTTATCCTTTATTAGTGTCGATCGACCACAGCTCCAACGTTATGCACCTTCGATAGAGATGGTCTAACAAATGGTCGTCCTGTAATCAGGTGAGTGTATTCCAAATTCATATTGCATTAACTATTTAAATTGATAATTTGTTTACTATATTATTAATAAGAAAATTTTAATTTTTTTTTTAATGCAAACATAAATTTTGACAACAAAAGTTTTGCTCTGGGACAGGTAGATAAACTTGACATAATAGTGTGTTTGTTTGCAATGTGTGCATTTGATTACTTCTGCTTGTCTATTGTAATACTGTAATCATTTAGTATTTATTCTAAAATTAGCATGAAGGTAGATTTAAGCATAGAATATTATAATTTTTAGTATATTTTAATTATTTTTCTTATTAAATATTTATGTTTAATATAAGTAATCATTGACACTATTAAGAGGATACGTAACAATTCAAAATATTTGTAACATATATAACATATATAAAAAAAAAAAGTTAACAGTAAAAATAATTTGATAAATTCATTAATTACATTTCTAAAACTTTTAATTCATACTGCTCTAGTGATGATAATAAATCATTATGACAAATTACTGCTGTAAAAACAAACTCTCTTGTTTTTTCTCACATTATATAGCCTTATTTTCATTTTAGTATTATTACTAGATCCTCTTTTAAAACATTTATCCTTGTACTATTTCTTATTCATATAGTAGAAACTAATTAACATGCAATTAACCTACAAACACTTATCAAATCCTACTACCATTGCATGGTAATATTGTCCAATGTTTAAATAATTGCATGCTTCTACTATTTGTCAAATGTTTATATGCCAAGAGACATTTTGAATTAAACAATATTTTTATTATCTGAATAAATATCCTAAAATTTAGTTTAAGTCTATAAAATTTTCTTTTACATTCAAAAATGAAAAGAAAGTTTTTTAGATGTTATGTAATTCTGCCAATTCTTCTCTTTCATCCTAATTTATAGGCCTTAAATAAATTCATGTATATAATTTATCATCCATGTAATTATGGTACTTTATAATATTAATTAATATTCTCCTATCGTATTTTTATTTAAAAAACAAAGTGAAAAGCCACTTTTAATATTCTATTATTTAAATACTGGTATTGTAGGGCCTAGTATTTAAACTTCATAAAACAATGTAACCAAAAGATAATCATATTTAAATGTAGGCTAATCTCCTTTTTTAAAATTAGAACGACTGAAACACGAATGAATTAAAAGAGAAGAATGACAGTAAACTCACGATTTTTACATTAATTTCTTTTTTGTCTAAACATAAAAACGTTTTCTATTTATATTAAAAAAAAATTATCTACGAGAATAAATAATATTCATTGTATTGGAACAAACGTGATATATGTTTGAAGCAGTGTTCACGTTTTTACTGTATTTTGCGTGTATTAAATTTAGATAATCGTACACAAGTGTACAATCTGCTGTTACTTGTTTTTACGTCAACATAGTTTTTATTTTGTATAGCACTTATTTTTTTATAATAACGGGGAAACATCAAACGATGTAACCATCCTAGACGTGTAGATTTATTTTAAAAAATGTGTACGTTACATCTCTGTATGTTTATTTCAAACTTATAAGGCTCTGTTATTACCATTGAGTAAAATTTATTATTCTACAGTTGTTAATATGACTAATATTTTCAATTTTCCGTCACCATAATTGATATATGTACAAACGACAATTGAATTTAGTAGCTAGCAGTATGTGTTTATCATTTTGCAGTTACTGATTATGACGAAATTTATATAAAAAAAAATTCCTTTTATTTCGTTACATGAGTTATACACCTTTAATTCCATTTTTGCCATACGTGTTTAACCATGAAGTACACAAATAAGAATGCTAAACATTTTATTACGTCATAGAAATATAAACTTGAATCAACTTTAACTGATGATTCGTAAAACAGTAATATTTTTTTTATCGACAAATGCCACACAAATACTACTGAACGTTTTTTAAAACAATAGCAGAAAATATCTATTAGTTCTTAAAAAGATTAAATAATAATAATAATTTACTTAAATATATTATATGCATACCACTATAGCGGTATGCATTATATATACTCGTATATTGACATAGTTTGTATGGTAACTATGGGGGCTTAAGCCTGCATATACGTGGACCAAGTCGTGTTTAAGATTTTGTCGCCTCTATTCGTTTAAAAGATACTCTTATCATTTTTTAAGATTGACAAGTTATTTTACAAAAACCACGATGTGATGATCAAAAAATAGGTTTTCACTAATGATGATAGCCTTAATAGTAAATTTAGAGGCGATTGTTAAGTCCTCTTAAAAAAGGAATCCTAAAAATAAGAAAATATATATGTTCCTTGCAATTCGTTTCTGTGTTATTATTATATTATAATTAATTCCAAAAATGTTGTTTTATAAAAATTAATCAGTAATAAATTATTTTTGAATTAGTTTGAATAAAAGAGCTTTCGTATCAAAGTTAAAAAGAAATTTTAATTTTTAAACTTTATAAAGAAATAGTATAAAACAAATAAAAATCCATATTTTTATTTTATAGTTCAGATTATTTTTATTATTTATGTTAGTCAACAATTGTCTCTGAATAACTTAATATTAAATATAAAGTTATTTGGAGACAATTAAGTCTAAGTTTTATACTTAATAATAATAATTTTATTATAATAAAATTATTAGAGATTGTTTGGATACTTCGTTTTTCTGTTAACTTTCCATAGTAAATGAGCGCATATTCTGTTTCAATATTAGGAAGCTATAATTATTAATTGTCGACCAAAAGGGATAAAATATTTCTTAATATATTAGTATTAACCTTTTCAGACCCCAACAAAATTATAATGTGTATACAATTTTTTTCCATACTATAAGTTACACAATAATTGTACTAACAATAAAAACAATGCAACCAACATTATAATATACAACTGAGTATTGTCAAAAATAAAAAAAACAAATGTTACTTAAAATAATTGTATGATTAATGAGTTTTCCTCAATAACTTGATTCTTTTTTGTTTAGTATTTGTTAATATTTGTTGACTTTTTTTATTGTTTTGTAATAGTTCAAATTAATTTACTTAGTTTTTTAATTTATTAATAGGTGCAGTGACACAGTTGAAAGGTCGAAATCAGTGTCGGGTAGTCGCATTCGCATAGGTATGTTGAAACACAAATTCCTCATGGACGCAGGACGAACCCTACCCAACGTTTGATTAGTCTACATGTTCCTTCCAACCAGTATTAAATAATAACCCAAACATTCCAGTTTGAAGTTCCACATTTATCTGTAGAAATATTACATACAATTTTTAATAAATAATCATAAATTTGTGTTAAGGGATAAGTTTTGTTCGTGTAGTTTACACGGTAATTAATTTTTATTTTAAATTATAAAATTTATACTATTTTACATTTAATTGTTTTGTAAACCTCATATTCGGGGTGTTTCTTTCATTTATTGTGTAAGTTTTTGTCTTTTTTCCACTTTACCAAAATCAAACTAGTCAATATTTGTTTTGTTTATATATGTATATTTTGTTTGTGTTTCTAACAAAAAAATTCATGCTATCTTTAGCAGGAAATTATTATTCTTATTTATTCGTTATAGGACATTAACACTTCCATAAGTGTATAACAATTACTATGATGCACATTAAAATCATTTTATTTCATATTGTGTATTTCCATAATAAATGTTAGTATGATTGTCATAATATATTTATTAATTTATATATCCATATATATATATATCTATATCTTTAATTTTTTAAGACAAAGATATGTTTAAATCCTTATTTACTATAACATGTGTAATATATAATTTATAATAATGTTTTTATTATTATACTTAATCATCTTAAAAAGACAACATCTATTGTTTTAGCCGAAATGTCCTTAAATTATTATATTGTTTTTCTTATGTCAATTTGTACAGACTTATTTTTAATAATATTATTTCTGAAAAAAATGTATATATTATAGGCTGTGCAAGTGTACATTATTTGCAATGTCTAACAATTTATTTTATGCAATAACAAATAAATAGTTATTCTGTATAACTACATACTTAATTTTGTTACCATTTATTTATGTACAAATCATTTTAATTATAAAGTTTATAATCTATTTTTTTAACAATTTAATAAACTTAACCCATCATTACGTTTTTGTATAAATTATGGATAATATTTGGTGTTCAGAATTTGAGTCTTGGGTATCTTTACTGAAGTTAATGATAGTTGTGTATTTTCTAATTGTATCGAAAATTTCAGGCTTTATTAGTTACTACTTGCACAATCGCAGTTTTTGTTCATTCGATTTGTGTAATTTCCTTATCATAAATATAATTTAGATATTGTACAGAGTGCGCCATCAGTATTTGGTTAATGAAAATATTGAATAACTTTTAATATAATAACTTTTAACTGATCGGTCATCGAGCACTTTTTCAGTATACTTTCAACCATAGATCGAAATATACTGAGGGAATGTGCTGAAATAGTGTCACTTTACGTTGAAAATATTCGCTCAGTAGTGTGTGTTAACTAAGCGTGCATATCGTCAAAAATATTGGAATCGTTCTGCGCCCAAAAATGACACAAATTGTCGTTTGGTCACAAATTTTTTCGAGTACGGATCTGTAGTGAATCACCAACAACCTACTAGATCACGTTTACATTGTTCGTTCCAGTCATAATATTGAAGCAGCTGTTGCTGAAAAGTCTCGCAGCCTGACTCAAAAATTAAATATCCCTGGAACTACTTTAAGGAGATCTTAAAACATCATCTTCCCGTGTTTCCATACAAAGTACTATTGACTCAAATATTATAAGAAACAGGTAAGCTGCGTCGCTTGAAATGACGATGGATTTTTTACGACGGAAGTTCCCGGCACGTGTGAAGTCAAAAGAAGGCGATATTGAATGGCCATCAAGATCTCCCAATTTGACAGCACCGAACTTCTTTTAGTAAAGATTTTTAAAAAGTAAATTTTATGCAAGACAAATATTATAATATAATATAAGCCCTTTAATTGATATAGTATTTGGAAACTAGTTGAAATAAATAGTAAATGGGTAAGCTGAATAAATAAGAAAATTTTTTCGACATTTATCGTGAATAGTCGTAAAAAGTTATTTATTAGTTCCATTAACCATATACAAATGGTACACTTATATGTTAAATACTAGTACATTTTTTGCCAGTACAATTAAATAAAAGGTTCATACAGATTTGGAAATAAATAATTTGACAACAAAATAAAAGTTATCAGTTGCAAAGATGTGAGAAGTCATTTCTAAGTAATTCGGTGATTTTCGCTGAAAATAATCTCAGAATTGTATTAATAACTCTTGTTTTTGTGATAAAACGTATTTTTGGCTTCGATGCGAAGCTGAGAAGATATTAATTTACCATAATGTGTTAATTATTATTTATTTTTTTGTTGTGTGTGTCACTTTTGTTTCTCAGTTTTCCTGGATCGATTTTTCTCAACGATACGTCAGAAGATCATAAATTGTCTAATTGAAGACATTACCCTCAAAAATTGAAAATTTTTCTCTCGTTCCCCGTAAATGGTGGAAATTCCCATAAAAACTACAATTTTTAAAATCAGTAAATTTTGATTTTTTTTTTTTTTAACTGTTATAACTTTTTGATAAATGAACAAATGAACATAATTTTTTTATATTTTAAAACCTCAGATATTTCCCTTTTATTTGACATTATTTTTTTGAAAATCTAACACATAACTGGCTTACAGGGAGGATTCAAAATAACAAATTTTGTACAAAACTCAACTTTTTAAATTTTGCTTTTGAAAATGTTTCGGATATACTCCAAGCTTTAAATATATATCAAATTAAAACTAATGTTACGTACTATAAATTAAAAAAAAAAATTTTGTCCCGATGACTTATCTTTTACGTGCAGACGGCTGCCGTTAATAAAAAACATGCTATTTTTGTGTTCAAATTTTATTTGTTTATTTTAAATACTTTATAAGAGTTTGCTCATAGTAATGAGTCCACCAATAAATATATAATTTACAGGAATCTAAATTACATTAAATATAAATTTATACTTATTTTGATTATTTTGTCTCTTCAAAGTTAAGAAAAGCTTTTTTCGTGTAGAATATTCATAATTAACAATTAATTTATCTTCTGAAAAGTTTTGTATCAGGCCTTTTATTTTTTTCCAGATTGCCATAAAAGTAACAACTACTTTACATTTTTTTATAATTTCTCCGTAAAAATTACAATAGTAAATTATTAAATATCAATTTCATACTATATTTAATTGCTTTGATATTTATTCATATATTATATTTATAAATCATAGAATTACTAATTAGGAACAATGAAGGAAATAGGAGTTAATTTTGCTTTTCAATAATCCACCAATTTCTTAAAATTAAACACTATCTACAGATTTTCATCGAAACGTTTTAAAATCACTCTCAGATATCATCTATACATGTCCCAACTATGCCACGCTTACATTGTGCTACCGTTTGTTTTTTAATTCCTTTAAAGTTTAAAATCCTTCATTGGGAAAGCCAAGTTTAAAAAAAGAAAAAATCTGTCGTTTTACAAGCTTTTCTTAAAAAAATTATTGTTATGTGTATTGATATTGACGATTGATTAGACTAACAAGCGGTACGCATTTAGAGTATATATTCTTTATTTTATATCATTTTGGCGAAAAAACGTTATTATACTCAATCTTTTCATGTCTTTGTACATATGATTTGATTTATCTAATTTTCCATTTATCTTTACTGTGTTTTTATAGAAGTAAATTAACATATAAAACACATTTCTATAATATATAAATATAAAGCTTGCACATTTTCAAAATAAAAAATACGCTTTATCTCATACATTGACGTACGCACGGTGGGGGGGTGGTTGGGAGTTGAAACCCCCCAAAATTTATAAGCTAAGCAATAATTTTGGACGATAAACAATAAGTAAAAACAATAAAAAAGATCATATCATACTATAAATATTAATAAATAATAATAATAAATAAATATTTCCACAATAAAGTAATCGAAAACAGGAATTTTTGTGAGCGAATAATATGGGCAATATTAATAGATGTGACACACATCTAATTTTCTTTAAATTTCAAAAACGCCTCCAAATTTAATTTCTGTATACGCCACTGATCTCATATACCATAAAATGAACTTTACAATAAACGAGCCTAAAATGAATAGTTTAAATATTGGCATATTTACGGGTAGTAGGACTGGCAAGTAGGAAGCAATTATTACTTCCTAACCATACCTCCGAACGATTTTTTTCTTATACTAATAGATAATTTTTCTTAATAAATATTATTATATGAAATAAATAAAAAGAACCATTTATAATTTTTTTTTTATCAACCGTATTATCTGATTTTTTATCGCTAGTATTTTGTATATAACTACTTGATTAGAGCAGTTTATGGTAGACCATAAATCCTATTCATGATGTATTATTTTTAATAGATTAATTGATAAATTTAATCATTTATACTTGTTTCAACTATGCTACGCTCACACTGTGTCGCGACCCCACTGTGCTACTTTTTTTTAAACTTTTGTTGTTGTTCAAAGATTAATTTTCTTTCTTGAGAAGCAATAGAGTTGATCCACTAAGAAGGATAGATATTTTAAAAAATATTAATTTTAAATTACTTAAAAATATTTATTTATTTTGGATTTTCTTGATTTAAATTTTGGTCTCATCGTTCTCGGTTTGCTCCTTCATTGTGTGAAAGTAAAAAAATATTATCAAATTTTTTAATGTCACTAAAAATATTTTTAGTATCTAATTATAAATTGAAGTTTGTCCCAACCCTAAAATCCTGGATAAGTCACTGAGTTCATATTAAATAAACATGTTTATAAGCCCGTTCACGTGAATGCGTTCTTTCTCATTATAACTGATTTATACAATGTGATTTATTAAAAACACTATTCCCATTTTTTTTCTGTTAGACTTTTTTTTATTTATTTTTCTCTTACATTTTATTTTAATTTACAGTAATTAAACAATCATTTGATTAAAAACATTATATTCTGTTTGAATTATAGGCGCTTTTAAAATGTTCTTTTCCATCTGCTAAAATGGTTGAATTTGACGCTCAAATAGTATATATGAACTAAAATTATTACTATTAATAGATCTTTCGGGTTATCTTGTTTTTCTATTTATTATGTATGGCTCAATAGTATTGTAAACAGACTGATTTCTCAAAGGTGTGCTGTTCATTATATCACTATAGTAAATTTTTGGTATACATTATTCAAACACTACTTTTTCAAAACATTATTACTGTTTTTCTGTTATGTTCTATTTTTAGCAGAAATTGTTATGTTTACGGGGCAGTTTAAAATTTTATTTGAAACTGAACATATGTTATAATTCACATTAATTAAATTATAGTTGAATAGTATTTTGCATTAGACAGATAATCCCCATAAAAAAAAATCTATAAGCCTGATACTTTATAGTAGACAATTTTACTATTATTATTGTCTTATAACTTCAAAACTAATTTTTAAAGTAAAAAAACAATTAGGTTCTTGTATTATAATGATCTTATTATTTAATTAACTTTTTCCTTTGTTCAATTTATAAATGGAAGATGTAAAATTTCGATTTGTTTTAATAATATTAAATTTCATGATTGAAATCATGAATATTTCATGGGGCTCCAACCCCACTAGCATTTTGATAGCCCTTCATTACAATGATAATATAACTATTTTCGAATATTTATATTTTTCGTATAATATTGAGTTGAAACCATATCTTATTTTCTTGCTCATCGACTTTTTTTATAGTAATTTTATTTTATAAGACTTTTTTCTCCTACTTGCACCATTGTTAAGACTCTTTGTTTAACGCCATTTAGGTTTCGCGCTTTAGCTGCAAGTTCGACACATACTCCAAGTTCGTATTACCTGATTGAACTGCACTCTTTCCTTTTCTTCCCTATCTATGTAAATATCAATGACGTCAAAAATTTATAATACTAATATTAGTAAGTTTTTGTTTATAATTTGATATGAATTCAGTGTTTTTTTTATTAAATGTAAGAGCACATCTGTTGAAAACCAGTTTTTATTTTTAAAATTATGTTTTATTGAAAAGCTGAACTCGTGTGATTTTTAGTACATTGTTAATATGAATTGTTTAATTATCATATTTTTATAAAGTTTGTTTTAGATGTCTGCAACTGCCCCAATGCATACTTTATATCATCTGCGGTTTATGAGTTAAATATTATCATTGTGAATTGTTATTGTACTAGCCAAAAATACATTTAAATAAATATTTTTAATGAGAGAGTGCGCTAAGTTGGCCCTAAATAGGCAACATCCCTTTTTTGTATTACTAGTAATTATAACTCAGTTACCACTTCACCCAGTTTCTATACAAGCAGTTAATTTGATCATATATAATTTTTATCTTATTAATTAATTGTTTTACCCACTTTATTTTTAATAGTCATTAGTGTTTTTGTAAATTCTTCGCTGTGTTTTAATTATACAGTACTATAATTTAAGAGTACTAGTTATAATAAATACTTTTTTTAACACATTTTTTTAACACCTTGTGTCTAAATAGTTTTTAGTAACTTTTAACAACAACATTAACTTAAACTTAAATGGTCAGAAAATGCTATGGTTTGAAACTATTTAAAATACGTCAAATCTAAAACAATGTTAAGGAGAAATAACATATTGCTGTTTCAAAATTATAGAAATAAGGGTATTATTATCTTTTGAAAAAATTATGTTTCCAAAGATATTTTGAGAGTCATTAGTAATCTATTGTTCAGTATATATTAAACATTACTTTAAAAAAAATTATAACAAGCTTAATGCTAAAATAACTCAATAAATAAAATATTTAAGACATTTGTTTTAATAATTATTCAACAACAAGTTTAATAAATTACAACTATTAGACATAATATTAAAATAAAAAAATAAAATTTACTAAATAAATTATATAAAAAACATAAATTAAAATAACAAAAAAAAAAACATAAAAGAAAAATTGAACACATATGTAGTATATTAACAAAACATAAAAATAATCTAATATAGATTTTTTGAAAATTGTTGAATAAAAAAATATTTAGTAGTATACATTAAATAATAGATATTAATTTAAGTATAATAATAAACAATATTATTTTACAATAAGATAATTGTGTTATTTAAATACAAGATAATATTTTAATAATATGCAAACATGACTAATTATTTTATAAAAATAAATTAAAATTCTTATAAGGTGTAATAATTATTTTGATTATAATTATATATATATATAAAAAAAAAAAGAACAGCGCTTTATTTTTTTATATAAATTAAGTGAAAATTTACAATGTAATATAAAACTTATTTTATTATGTCAAAAAAGAATGATTATGATAATTAAGAATGGTGTGCTTATATATTGTAATGTTTTATTGTTTTAGTTAAATTTAAGAATTCAACTTTTTAGTTTGATAAAATCAAAAATATATAGTTAAAGGTAAAGTAATAATAGTTATCAAAATAAAATATAATAAATTTTTAAATTATTTGAGCAGCTTTAATTAGATAAAATTGATATTCTAATTAGTAGTTAATAAATTACAACATAAGTATAGAGATCAAAAATGAACTTATAAATATATTGTTGAAAACATAGCTTTTGGTAAAAAAAAATGTTAGCAATTATGCTGTGATGTGTAAAGTGATCAACAGATATTATAACAAAACAATATACAATATTGATAGCAAAAAAAGCGTACTAATAATATTTAAACAAATACTAATATACAAATATTTAATAATATAGTTAAATTGATCAATCAATTTTAAAAATGAACTTACTAAAAATATCTAGAATTTTAAGGTAACAAATACTTCAAACCCAAACACCATGTGGGTTCTTGCTAGTAGGAGCAGCATTTTCAAGTTGTCTAGGTGATCCTATCATTTTACGAGTGCTTCCTGGTCTCTGGGCTCCTAAATTTATTAAAATTATTAATATTAATATTCAATTAAGTAAGAGATCATTTTAAATATACCTTCAAGGATGAATTTCAATTCTTCTGGTGGTGAGATTGCTAACGATTGCAAATTTGCTTCTTTCATATCGGAAACAAGTTTTTCAACCTGCCTTTTTTTTTCAGATATAGTAGTTTCCAAATTAGCAACCTTTTAAACACAAAAAATAATACACTTCTATTATTACACTATAAATTGTACATAAATGAAATATACTTCTTTTCTAAGTCCATCTCCAACTTGGGCTGCCATTTCTGTTTCTTGTTTAGCTCTTTCAACTTCCGTTTGTAATCTATCTACTTCTTTAATAATGCCTCTCTCAGCTCTACGTTTTTCTTCTAAATCTTTGGTTAACATTTTTTTTTCGGTTTCCACTTCCTCCATTAACAAACGTATTTTATTTTTACAAACTAATAATTCTGTTTCACAGTTGGCCAATTTAGATCGTAATAATGTCATTTCAGATTTTAAGGTTTTTTCTTGTTGACGCGCAATATCATTTTCTTCTTCAACTTGCCCCAATAATCTTAGCTAATATAATACTAGGTTATTAAGAAAATTTATTCCCTTTTGAATAATAATTTAAAAAAATTATGAAGTACTAACTTGTTCCTCTGTATGGCGACCAGTTGTTTCAATGCGAGCTGCTTCTTGTGACATAAAGTCCATTTGATGTTGCTGTTCTTTAGTTTTTCCTTCCCAATACATAATTTCTGCATCATACTTTGTTAATTCCGTTTGTTGTATAGACAATTTATCTCTTTGATAGTTAATTAATCTTATGAGATCTTTGTATTGTGGGTTGTACATAATGTTTGGACTGTTACTATTGTTTTCATTTTGGTATTCCTAAAAACGACAAATTATAACTATCCAGTTTTTAAAATTTTGATGTCTTATACCTTAAAAATTGGTTGTTTTAAACGGTCACTACATACAGTTGTAGGTGATATTCTAGCTGGACTTACAGAAGGAGGTGGTGGTTCTCTATATGGTGGTAATGCTCTTGCAATTGGAGGTCTAAAACTTGAGTTCTCAAACTTTTTATTAGGACTCCCAGATGGCTGTAAAACACTGTTATTCACTGAAGTAGATATTTGATCCTTAAAAGTAAAAGTTAACTATTATAAATAATTGCCACAAGTAGTGGCATTCCAGGAGAAGACTAAAAGAGCTAAGACCCTTTATTGATAGTTTTAAACCAACATTTTAGGTAAGTATAGACCTTTAAAAAGGTCACTAATATACATATTTTTTATCTATTTCTTCTTTGAAAAGTCCTAGGTATGCCACTGACCACAAAGATGTTTTAATTTAGTATTATACAATTATTACTTTATTCAACTGACTAGAAGTACTAATTGGTAATGTTGACAAAACACCTATAGTTGAAGATGATGAAATAACTGTTAATGCAGAATTTGTCCCAGATGTAGATAAAACATTGGTTTTTTGCTGAGGAATCCCACGTACTACACCCACATTATCAGGTAAACGATTACCTAAAAAATTGTAATTTCAGTGTAAATTTAGTCTAATATAATTTATTATGAACTAAGATTTATAGTTAATAATTTAATTTCAACATTTAAATTTATAAGAAATTTGGTTAGCCTTAATTAAAAATTTTGCCTTACTAATATTACTGAATATTAATGATTTTCTTGTATCTTTAATACGCTCTTGAGAAAAATAAGGTACTCCTTCAGATTCACTTATTTTGGGATTATTCGCTGTGTTGTTTGAAGAAACATTACCAGAACGTTGTAAAATAAATTGAACATCATTGGCATATTCTCCCCATTTCATGAGTACCTATATAAAAATAAAAAGTTTTAATTTGTATAACAAGATAATTTTTGATAAAATTGGAAAACATTCTAACAGTCACTGGATGATCTTGAGGTGCTAATAGACGCTCATTGTTACGCCAACGTTCAATTAGTGTGAACCGTCCTGTTTTTCCTGTTGCATGAGCTAATGCGTATACAACATCCTAGAATATCAAAATATTACATTTAGTGTTATTTTAATTAAAAATAATAATAGACAAAACTATAATTTGGTAAAAAAAATATTACAGCCAATTGAAAACTTTATTTTTTCATTAAATTAAAAATATCACTTATTTTCTTTTTTTTTAAGATTAATAATAATAATGTAAGTTTCAATAAAATGTAATATGGTTTTGTTATAAAAGAAGGAAAAGAAAAAATGTGTATAACAATTAAATGAGAAATAAAAATTAATTATTATTAACAGTGTCAAAAACATTAATCTTACTTGGCACGTTGTTGTCTCAGTAACTCCACAAACAACACGTTGAATTCCTTCTACCCAAACTTTTAGCTCCATTTTACTATTAAAATATACTAACAAGTTCTTAATAATTTAAACCAACTGTAATAGTAATAAACTTGTCGACTCATAATTACTGTAACCAAGAAGTAAACTATTAAAACTTGAATTAAATAAAACAAAACAAAAAAAAGTAAGAAAACTATAATCAGGATCATAACAACTTTCATAGCATTGACCTAGAGAATAGATAAGTAGAGAAAATTAGAAATCAGGGTCAAAATTACTTACTATAATGATAGTATATCAACTTGGAAAATGTACTTTTGAAATAATTAAAAGTTATACTAATTTTTATATAATTTATAATAATAATATTTTGGGTCAAATAAGAATCTAAATTAAAGAACAATGAACTCTAATCGAGATAATACTCTACAGAAACTACCAATTTATTGTTATTTGTTTACGTGAATTCAATGATAAAAGTTATTGTATCTCCGTACACACTGGATCACATCCAAGGAGAATATTAAAAAACCTAAGAGCACAACTTAGGTAAAATTGTTTTTAATTTATTTGGATTATTCAATACGATCATAGAAAAAGGTAAAATGACATGGATAAACACTACTGTAGCCAGATGTAAGCTTTTACAAAAATTTTTTCTCTTTTAAGGACTTTGTCCTATATCAGATCTCTTGGTCAAAATGTCCTCTTTTTAAAGCTTCGATGGGAATCTGAAAGGTGTTAATTTCACCATGATGTGTTTATTTTTTGCACTTAAGTAAATCAAATGATCATTTAATGCATATTTTTAATGCAATAGTAGTTTTGGAATCAGCGTCGTTCTAAGAGTTTTGTCTTGGGGAAGATATACAAAAGTAATTTTGTTACTACCCCTTCCAAAATACACCTTTACCATATATCTATTTTCATCATGAGGTGTTCTAATCCCTCGTGAGAACGCCAATGGTTGGGATGGATTTTTTACCAAAAAAAAAATGAGTTTGTTTTTTGTATAAACTGATTTCTTTAAAAATTCTATGGACCATATTTTTTTTGCATTGAAATCTGACGACCCTAATTATATATTATATAAATATAACTGTATTATGTTAACAACATTTTATAATTTAAATATACTACTGTGATATTTATTAAGTTATCAATGATATTTAATAAATTATTACTCTAAAAACGTACAAATTTAAAAACGCAAAATCATAGGCGTAATCTTCAAAGTCCATGGGGGGCTTGGCCCCCTAGTTCTATCGCAACTACCCTTACTATTAAATCAATTATGAAAATTACATATTAATTTAAATTAAAAATATTTAAGAGGGAAGAAATTAAATGGCATCTCTTAAACANTACACCGTGATTTGATTTTGCCTACAGTAGCAGAAGAAATTAAGAGATTTGCTCGCAAACATGAGGTGAGATTAACGAACCACATTAACACAGCAGCCATCCAACTTTTGGACAACTCCGAAGACATCAGGCGTCTTAAACGTCATAAACCATATGACTTAATTTAAAATATTTAGTTTTAACTTAGGTTAAGGAGCCACCTCGCTGGAGGTGTCACTCCACACATGTTTATTCTTTATTAATTGTTATAAAACTATGTTTCATATACAATTATTATAAAATATATTTATAAAGATAATTTTATCGTTTAAATAATAAAGCCATTTGGTAGTTTGTAAAAAAATAAAATAAAAAATAAAAAAAAAAAGGGAATCTAATTTGATTTCTACCCTTCTTGAAAATATTTGTAGTTTTAATTGGTCAATAATTCCAAAAGCAAAATGGACTTATATTTCCTATTAATATTCTAATTACAAGTTTTATCATTTATATGTATAATGAATAAATATTTATTATAACAATTAAATATAATATAAAATTATACAGTAGTATATTTCGTTACTTCTATGGTAAACATGTATAAAAACTGATGGGCTTTACAAGGGCGTATTCACATATTTTCCGCCTATAAACATTTAAAAATTTGCCGCCCTTCATTACGTTATGACGGAAGAGGCTCATTTTTATATATTTTCGCCATAATACACCTAATTTTCCTCAAAAAAAAAAAAAGTATTTAAAAATATTTTTCAAGCAAATCTATGTTTATTAATAAATCATAAAATAAATTGCTTGTAGCTATTAATATACACATCATAATTACACAATAAATGAAAACGATTATGATAATTATTAGGAAGTCAATATCTCTTAATATTAATAAAAAAATTACTCGCTTATTATAATATTGTTGGCCTTCAATATTTGCCGTCCCTTAAAATATGCCGCTGTAGGCAGTTGCCAATATATCCTGCATATAAATACGCTGCTGGGGGTTTAATGAAAAACTTTTCAAAAATAATTTTTTATTAGTTATAAATAAATTTACTGGTCTACAGAAAATTTTCATCAGAAACCAACATATATTTTTCTAAACCCATTTTTTTGTGTCTATTTCAAATCTGCAATTAGATTTTTTTCTATCACCTCTTAGTGTGATTACTAATTAGTAAAAAGTGATTATCTACATATAAAAAATTATTTAAAACAAAAAAAATTTTATAATTACTATTTACAATAAATTTATGGAAAAAGTTCAAAATTTCGTTAAAATCATTATTTTTTCATTGTTATTGTAATAAATCACTACATTAGAAATCTTAGTAATAATTTCTATGTAAATTCTACAATTAAAATATTCAGAAATTAATAAATTAACTAAAAAACACTCAAAAAGTTATAACATAAAATCTACTCAATTGATCGTATTATAAAAATTGATTACAGTTGTAAAAATATTTGCTTAATTCAGGTGAAATTCAAAATAATTTTTAGCTTCGATGCGAAGCTGAGAAGGTATTGGTTTTACTATGATGTGTTTTTTTTTTTTTTTTTTTTTTTTTTTTTTTTTTTTTTTTTTTTTTTGTGTCTGTTACCACTTTTTCTCAGCTCTCACCGAACGGATTTCTTTCAACGATACGTCAAAAGATCACAAATCGTATCTAGTCGAAGACATTACCCTTCAAAATTGAAAAAATTTCCCTCGTTCCCCGTAAATGGGGGTAACCTCCAAAAAAATTACAAATTTAAAAATCGCTAATTTTCGAAATTTTTTCAATTTTTTTTACTTAAAAGTGCCATAACTTTTTCAAAAATGAACATATCAATATAATTCTTTTTTATATAGATGCATAATATCATTACCTTTCATTTGGTATATTTTTTTCATAAATTTAACCCTTAACCTGCCCACAAGGGGGGATTTAAAATGACAACTTTTTCAAAAAAAATTAACTTTTTCAACTTAACTTTTGAAAATGTTCCGGAAGGTCTGACACTTTTATATATATCTTAAATTAAAGCTAATGTAATATTCTTTATTATGCAAAAAAAAAATTTCGGACTTTATTTTATCTTCACGGTGAAAATGGCTACCGAATGCTATTTTTGTGTGAAAATTTTCGATTTTGTATTTTACATTTTTAACTTTATTATGCTATAACTTTTTGAAAAATGTATGGATCAGTACAATTTTTTCATGAGGAGTAGTATTTATATACATCTTTCATTTGACATACTGTTTTTTTAAATCCGACCATTTCCCTATATACGAGGGGGGTTCAAATCTAAAAAATGCATGTAGAAAGTAGAACTTTTTCAACTTAAATTTTGAAAGTGTTCCGGAAAGTCTGACACTTTTATATATATCTTAAATTAAAGCTAATGTAATATACTTTATTATGCAAAAAAAAAATTTCGGACTTTATTTTATCTTCATGGTGAAAACAGACATCAAAGTTTATAAAAAAAATACGATTTTTGTAAAAAAATTCATTTTATATTTTTAATCTTTATAATGCTATAACTTTTTGAAAGATGTATGGATCAATATAATT